CATATAAACGTACATATACATAATTGACATGAATAAAAACTATAAGCTCAGATATAAAGCTAGAAGCAAGAAAACGCACATCGGGGGGGGGGGGGGGAATGCTACTTTAACTTTTTTTTTTCATGAATCCTGACATGCCACATGTATGACTCCCTTCAAAGAGAGTTCACGTGTATTTTATAGAGTTGCATCGGGACTCTCAAAAAACACTTAACGATCCCTAGGGTGTAAAGTCTTTGGGCGAGAAGCGAAGTGCTAATTCATTCAAGTTGTAAGGATGCATTGCACGTTGAATGATAAGTTAAATGTTAAATGTTAAAGTTAAATGTTAAATTAAATAATGCATTGCACGTTAAATGCACGTAAAAAGTTTAGCTGAAGCCTTTTTTTTTCGAAGTTTCGTTTTCAGGTCCAATATATTTTCAGGTCAGTTTGAGACAAGAGCGCAATCGAAATTTTTTTCGGGAGTAAGGGGTCACTTCCTTAACCTGAAGTGGCAGCCGGGCCAGCAGGTGTGGTCGAGTGACATTTGAGGCTCCATGTGTCACGACAAAGATTTTAGGAGGAAGGGGGGGTGGGGGGCATTGTCCCGGTGTGCCACGATTTGGCTACACCATTGATATGAGAGATTGGGCACTTGACATTTTGAACGGGAAAAAAAGAGAAGGATTTTTATTCGGATGTGCACGTTCGTCCGAAGCAGAAGCCTTAATCGTGAAGTTTTATCGCCGGATGGGACAACTCACATGCGTCCTAATCGTCGATGTAAGGCGAAGCGTAGAGGTCGCTGGTGGAGGTGGTAATGCCGTCCTCACCCGCTTGGTCGATAGATTCCAGGGCCACGCCGCCCGAAGTGGTGGTCGCCGTACTGTCGTAAGCGTGTATTTTGCCGCCCGGACTGCCTGAATATGCACACGCAAGAAATTTGATGGTAAGAAGGAAGAACGTCTATCCCTCCTACATAGGTATCAGTCACAAAACTAAAGTGGCTTTTCCGTATCTGTACAGGGAAGTTCCTTCTCATGGCCAGGCTACGCTGCTTTGTTGACGTCATTTCCGTGACGAAAATGACATCGGTAAATTGTCTAAGACTCGGGCTAAAACATTCTTGCGGAAAAGAAAGGAATTTTATCGAAATTAAGCTGTCAAGCGCAGTAGGCGTTCATAAATATCAAAATGCCTCTTATTTGTAGTCAGTTAACTACGATTCACTAAATAACTTTTTACCTAACTGCACATATTGCAGTCGTCGAATTGTAGATACTGCGTTTGAAAGGCGTATCTAATTTGAAATGAAAGTCGATGATGACCGGAATTTCCGAGATATGCGCCGTAAGGCTTGTAGCTAAAAATTAATCGTTGTCCTCATTTTCGTAAAAAAAAAAAGAAACAAAAAAGGAAGCGCCGTCTTGTGCAGTGTGGAATGCCCAGGTTTCGCAACAAATATCTCAAAACTGGTGTCGCGGTTAGAACTCGTTCTAAGTGGACATATAACGTGAATTACCCGGCTACAATTTATTAAGTGCAATATCAGCTGTAATGAAAAGTTCATTATTAAACGTTCTTCAATTACTAAGAGTGACCTCAAAGTTTGTGGACGTCTGCCGCACCTTACAGTCGACTTCTGGAGCGATTTTCTATTTTTCCAGATTGATTGATTTGTGGGGTTTAACGTCCCAAAAGTGCGATATGAATGTGAGAGACGCCGTAGTGGAGGGCTCCGGAAATTTCGACCACTTGGGCTTCTTTTCTATTTCTTTAACTATTTCTTTAAGAACATTCCGCAGTCAGATTGGAAAGAGCATGCGGTACACTGGCAATTAAAGAAAAGCCTTTACCCGGGACGTATTGGCCGTCTGTGGCCATCCAGCGTAGATGTGCCCGCAGCAAAGCACGGGACGCCGCTAGGTGACTCCAAGACGCAGCCCGGTCTGAAGTGCGCGAGTCGAGGCTTCAGGGCGTCACCCAAGATGGCGGAAGCCTTTGGGAGCGTTCAGAACAGCGTAGCGCATCGGACGGCTTCGAAGCTGCTTCTGAGCTCTCGCGAGTCCAGCTCGTACCCGCTCAAGATGATGATGATGTGTTAATTAATGATGATGATGACCTCTTATGGATGGCGCTCACCCACGAAGGGGGTTGGGCCGACAACCGAGCGGCAGGATGCTCAAGGTAAATATACTACGAAACTAAAACAAAGCTGGGAAATTAGTTTTAAAATAAAACTTCGAACAAATGAAACTGCTTACTGAGCAAGCGGTCAGACCATCCGAGTTTCCTGCTATAAATAACGAGGAATATTATCAAATAGAGAAACAAAATAGATAAAGATAGCCTAACACGGTACTCATTCTGTTACAGTTGAGCAGAAATCCCTGTGGAAGTAACCTAATCGTGTGTCACACGGCACGCAGCAGCATTATATCGTCGTATTCGTCATAACTTACACAAATGCGCACGCGCCCACTGTAATTATCCAAGCGCTTGATACTGGTTTTATTATGCGAGAGTCGGTAGCTTAGTGGAAACCTTCCTTAGTGCTCGCCAATCAGCTCTATTTCGTTTTCTGCTAGCAATTGGGCGTGACTCGGTTAGCCTTTCCTTTTCTTTGTGTTTTTCTCTACCAGGATGCGAATGGCGAGAAAATAATACGGGTACCATCTTAGCAATGTCACACAACTTTATATTCCGCGAAGCACAAAATAAGTGATAATTTAAACACACTAACTTAATGCGTGACAAAGCTTAGCTGCGGCGAGAGTAGAAACACCTGCATTAACTTTTTTTTGTGTGTGTAGAGACGACCCTCATGGTCTATAGGTGGTTTCGTCGTTCATTTTCGACCGAGAGCTGACTGAATCATAGGAAGAAAAAAAAATGCATCAATACGAAGACAGTTGTGTGCGGACAGGGCCGCTAGCAAAAATGCACTTGGGTACATTCCTGAGTATCCTAAGCTACATATTCCAGTCAACACAAAAAAAAAAGGAGAGAGAGAGACGGCCCCCAGTTGCGTAATATTCGTCGCGCGGCCCTTGGCAGTGTCGCACAGTTTTATTGAACCGTGGGGAAAATAAGTGACGCGCTTTGTGACTACCACTTGTTCGTTTTCTGCCGTGTCACGGTCACATACACATACGGTTTCATTCCTGCGCAGCAGAAACGCATTTAACCGCATCGTGTTGATATCCCGAACAGGTGCGTCATGTCACGTGGCTCTTACGCACGTTAAAATTTCCACTTGGTGCCAACATCATAGTAAAGTGGCTATATTATTAGTAAAGAAAGGCACTTCTTTGTCTCCCGTATCGGGGACACGGCTAAGCGCCCCATCGTCAGGCGTTTTTCACTGTATGCTTCTGTCACTCTCCAGCCCCTTTCAGCCAGTCTTTATATTCCGATAAAAAGGAGTCGCTTATTGTCGACATTCTTCGCGGGATCGAATCCCGGCTGCGGCGGCTGCATTGCCGATGGAGGCGGAAATGCTGTAGGCCCGTGCGCTCAGATTTGGCTGCACGTGAAAGAACCCCAGGTGGTTGAAATTTCCGGAGCCCTTCACTATGGTGTCTTTCATAATCATATGGTTATGACACCTCACATATCATTACTATCGTCATTGTTACGGTTGTTCTCCACTGCCCAGATCACCACGTCACACAAAAGAACAGCATCGCTCGAGATAGCAGATAGCGGGTCCTTATCAAAACGCCAAAAATCAAAAGGCAGGACTATGGAACGCCGGTAGTCAGAACGACGAAATATTGAAATGCCGAAAATTCAAAATGATGAAAAAACAAAATGCTAAACAATCTAAACGTGAAAGTCGTTTGGCAGCTGCTTTGCCCATCCGGGACAATGCGGATGTCATAAGTTTCCTACGAGGCATTGCACACAATTTATCTCTTTGACATGAAATTCTATGAACAAGGAGATATATTCATGTTTTCAAAGGGCTAAATTATATGCGAAGGGGACATGGCTATTGATTTCGATTGATTTGTGGGATTTTTAACGTCCCAAAACCACCATATGATTATGAGAGACGCCGTAGTGGAGGGCTCCGGAAATTTTGACCACCTGGGGTTCTTTAACGTGCACCCAAATCTGAGCACACGGGCCTACAACATTTCCGCCTCCATCGGAAGTGCAGCCGCCGCAGCCGGGAATCGAACCCGCGACCTGCGGGTCAGCAGCCGAGTACCTTAGCCACTAGACCACTGCGGCGGGGCGGGACATGGCTATTGGAAATGAGGCCGAAAGCGCATGCACATCGAACAAAGCCGGTGGAACCTTTATCTTGTTATGATACATTATCTGCCACTATAGCTGAGTGATGTCGGCATTTTGGTGCCTGTATTTTTCGGCATTTCACATTTCCGACTTTTTATATTTTCGGAGTCTTGATTTTTCGGTGCTTTCAATTGGCATATCTATTGTTCAGCCCTTTGTTTTTCGCCGTTTTGAGTGCCACCCCCAGCAAGCATGTGCGCATTCCTAAAGAGTAATTTAACAAAGCCGCGTTAAGTTTTACATTCTTGTTTACACCTTTGTTTTCTTTTCATTTCCGGACTGTAAAATAAGAACGAAAAGGATGAGCAGCCTTGCGTGACTGCCACAATAACGGCAAGTAGAGAGTGGAGAGGGCATTGCATCCGGCACGTACTCACGCAACGGGTCAAGGTGGTAAGTACATGGGACTCGGGTCAAGACGAGAAAGAGGCCGACAAGAGACGGAGAGAAGCCAGGTGGGAAAGGCGCCGGTTAAAAGGTAAAATAAAGAGCGAGTGGATTGATCGGCTAGCGGCGAACTTCCTGATGTCGCCCGGCGGCGAAGTGCGATCGCAAAGGGGGGAAACCCCTGGACCAGGAAGGACCAGTTTTGAAAACGCACGAAGGTCGCCTCGCCGCTCGAGGGGGGTACTTACCCCCGCCGACAACGAGCAACACCACCCTCTTCCCCGCCCCTGCCACACCGAACCCCCCTTTGCGCACGAGAGGAGCGGTCCACCGTCACCCCCGGAAACCGATCACTGGCAACAACCTCCCATCACCTCTGAGGCTTCCGCCGGGCTGAAGCAACACCTCGCAGGTTGAAGGAGCCGCGATGTGTGCCCAACGGAGTAGTGTCAGAGTGCCGTTGTCTCCGGCGGCGTTCATGAGGATGACGATGTTCCTTGTGGGGGCTGCGGTCGTTTGCACGAACCTGCCAAAAGCGGGCGCCAGTCTATCGCCGCAGCACTTGTACGCTCTGGCGTTGAGCCTCAATGCCTCCGACGAAGGCACCACGTTCAACAAGGTTAGTGACTTTCATTACGTAATTTTTTTTACCTGCCCCTCTCCCCAAAGCTGCGCTGAATAGTTCAGAATTATATTCTAGTTGCCTGGTGGTGATAGTTTAGAGCTTCGTCTCCGTTTTGATCACTACAATGTAAAATAATGTAATGAAATAATATAAGAGAAATCAGACAGCCAACTTAGCAGGAAAGCAGATTCTGTTGAGGCAAGGTGCTTGGCACAACATACATCCCACAGACGCACGCTTAAGTAAGTGGCTAACAACTTGATCAGAAGAAGGGGTGAAAGGATAAGGTAGTCCACACCTATAGGCAACCAGGCTGCGCTCCTCGAGCTCGTTCCAGTCTGGAAGGAGTTGAAGATTCAGCACTGTTGGTGCTGGATCTTCGCCCGTGTTACGCGCTAAGAGTGTAGACATTGCGATCAGTGACACTGGCCGGCAGCTGTGAACATGACAGTTTGTGTTTTTGTGTGTCTGTGGTTAGTAAACAATTCGCCTCACGACAGCCCAATTTACTGAATGTGTGTGGAAGCTATAGTTTTCGTTTCTGTGCACGTGACAGCGTCACAATACAGTGACTGTCTTCGTTCTTTTCTGGTGGCTTCGTTCCTTGACCAGAAATAGTTTTGTTACGTTGACGCTTGTTGAGCGAACGCAGCGACTAAAAACATACTCAGAGCTTGCTTTTTTTTTTAATATTCAAAGCTGCTGCACGACAACGGCAAATCTCATTCAATTCCCAATGTGCCATGACGTCACCAAGTCGATGACTCCAAAGACAAATGAAAGATTATTGTTACGACCGTCATCATTATTGAAGTTTTTCGGCCTTTGTGAACGGGACGAAAATATTTCGACGCATTCCAAGCAAGGGTGTGCCGTCAAGACGGATTGATTTCCTCTCGGCAAAACCTGAACGAGGGGTTCGGGACTGGTTCACGCAAAGAAAACGCACGACCATTGTCAGCTCGACTCAAGAAAAGCCATTGTGTTTGCTGCGAGCAAGGCTTTCGAGGCAGACAAGGAGGCAGCTGGACCATTTTCGAGGTCACCGAGAATCTGGAAATCACGGAACCAGCGTGGTATTTGCAGTTCAGGCTGCAAGCCAAAGCCAAATTGGTTGTGGCTGCATCTTGCGAGGTCAAGCGGAGCCCCGGGATATGTGCAGCTAAGCCACAGCTTCTAGCAAACAACCAGGAATGGAATGTGGGGGTGAAGAAAAGGATAATGCGCTATGTGCTACAGCCCTTGCGGGAGCCCGCCTCAACGACGAGGGATTAGTCGACCACTCCTCCTTCCCCCTTTCTCCATAGGATGGGCTGAATGGGGTGGCATATTTTGACGATATGCTGGCCCACCACTACATTGTCCTACCCGAAGACTCAGGCAAGTTTGACACGTGTACTGGCAGCCGGTTTTTCGAACCTCACCCAGCTGGCAGAAGAATCTTGGAAACCAAAATCATCGGACGTGCGCGAAACTTGGTGACGTGTACCAAAACGTCGGTGCAGTGCTTTGGTGACCATATTTGGGCATCGTGTGGACTGTGCCCTCTCCACATGAATTGTGTGGTGTCTTTCCTCTCCTTCGTGGGTGGAGCACCTAGACCATGGAGCGCCGTATTGGCTGAAGCCGCGGACAGTGCGCCCAGTGTTGGCAACGCGGCGCTATATAAACGGAAGACTCTTGTGTATTTTCAAGTTCTACAGTTCAAAAGCTCTCACGTACAGTTTTAACTTCTCGTTCTGATTCTAGGTTACTAACCATGTAAATAAATTGTCGTTTTTACGAGCGCCTCAACTGACTTGTTCGACGATGGGTCCTTGGACGGGGCCCCGCTACCTAACTGAGACCCGCGGGTCCCGGAGTCGCAACATCGTCGACCGTCGAGTAATCTGATTAGCTGTAAGGCACGTCGGCGTTTATACATGTGACAAAGACTTTAGCGTTATCACTGCCCATCCACTTGGCCCCGCCGCCGTTATGCATGTTAACCCTCTCCGCTTTCATTTGGTCTATGTCACCACGACTGCACAGAAATGCATCACTGTGGCCTGACGCACTGCCTTAGTTACGTCCTGTTCGACGACACAGGTATAGAAGCACCGCAAAGGAGGCTAACAGGAAGAGAGAGAAAATTCATATGGCTGGAACAAAGCAAATCAGAAATGCACTGTTGCGAACCTACCATCGTTTAGCGAATCGCAAGACGATGCCCACACTGACGCCTTCGTTCCTGTTCTGCCGCCAGAAAAATAGGTGTTATCATGGGTAATCACATCCTCGGTTTTAGAGGCTTTTGCCCTGCCGTGGTGTTGTTCTAGTGGCTAAGGTACTCGGCTGCTGACGCGCAGGTCGCGGGATCGAATCTCGGCGGCGACGGCTGCATTTTAGATGGAGGCGAAAAGGCTGTAGGCCTGTGTGCTCAGATTTTGGTGCACGATAAAAAATCGCAGGTGGTCGAAATTTCCGGAGCCCTCCACGACGGCGTCTCTCATGGTCATATGGTGGCTTACTGACATGATTTGGCCGCAAATAATACACACACAAAGTAAAGAAACACTCAACGACAAGCACAAGCGGCACTTCCAACTCTTGTCGTTGAGTGTTTCTTTACTTTGTGTGTGTATTATTTGCGGCCAAATCATGTCAGTAAGCAAGTACCAACTAGGCCAACAATCAGTATTGTTACATTTCATATGGTGGTTTTGGGACGTTAAACCCCCATATCATCATCATCGTCACGCTTCCCAGACAATCCTGCGCAGCTAGACAAGGCAGTGTTTAACGGACCGGTTAACGTATCAAGTGGAGAATGTAGCACGCGTGGCGTTATTTACCTGTCCCCACCCTTTCGCCTAACGACAGCTGGCACAACAATGTTACAGGTGGACGAGCCCGATGCGGACGGGGCCGCCGGCAACCGGCACAATGGCGGCCGGCAGATAGACCTGGGCTTCGGCATGTACGAGATGTGCCCGTTCCCGCTGAGCTTCATGCACGCGTGCGAGACGAGCGACCAGTGCAAGCAGACGGGATGCTGCGCCATGCACGCCTTTCCCGGCACGCGCCGATGGCAGAGGCCCTGCTGCGTCGTCTCGCGGCTCGTCACGCTCGCCCGCATCACCGGCTCGTGCATCAAGAGCAAGGCCACGAGGCCAGAGTCCGGTAAGTGATGCTCGTTGCGCGTACTTGGCGGGATAGAACAGAAAAAACTGTAATGACATTGTCATGGGGCACACCTTATTCAAGGGCCCGCCCCACTTGCCTTAGCGGGCCGCTCGGCCTGGTCCGTCAGCGACTGTCCGTCTGACCAGGCCGACCATAAATGGTTGGCCTGGTCAGAGTTGGACAGTCGCGCCCTACAGACGGCTCCAACTTGTGTGTGCTGATGTCACTTCCATGTCTGTCAGGTGCGGCGGATCCTGTGAGAAGCCTCAGGTGATGATGTGACACAGTGTAGTAGTACTTCCTCCGCACCAGGGGCAGGAACCTCGATAGCACGTCGGGAACTTTGTGTGCAATCATTTTATGTGGGGATGAACTCCGCTTTAAACTTTTCTTCGCCTTATGTCCTTGGTGGGATGCGATGTTTGTCATGTCACGTTAATGTTATCAGCGCACCGCATGCTGGTTCTTTTGTTATTCATGTAAAATGGGCAGATATACATTCCAGCGGTGTAAGTCATCACATTGAAACAAATTAACCACTACACGATTATGCTGCTTTGACGTCATCAAAGCTGCCATATTTGAGTACTTCCTGCGGTCATGACATCATGTGCAAGGTATCAAGAACAAAATTTTATAGCGGAGCTTTAAGATACAATCATTCCAAGCAGCTAGCGTAAATCATGCTGATGACGCAAACTTCTTATTGACATGCATGAAGATATAGGGAAATATTCCCTAGCGCGGCATTCCTATGACTTCAGCAATGGTCCCACCCCTACCCGTGATTCTTCAAAACGGTTACAAAACTAGCCCATTTTCTTCTTCCTCTCCTCACTGGCAACCATCGGCACTCTACATGTGACGACTGCCCGATTGTTAAATAAATGTTTTTACCATCGCCACCCGATTGCAGGGGCGTGTGCTGAATTTTCTTTTTCCAGAAAGGGTGGGGGGGGGGGGGGGGCTACTTAATCTCGAAATGAGAGGGGAGCCGGCGTGCCACTGCCAGGCTACTCCATGCACTGCCCGATTTCCCGCCATATGTGACATGCAGGCGTCGTCGCTAACGGCGACATTTCATTACTCTCAGAGCCCGAAAAGGGCATTACGAACTGGTCCTGCGCAGCTGACCACAAATACGCGCATTCAGAGAACTGAGCTGAGCAGGAAAAATCCTAGTGATGAACTCGACGTAATCGGTAGGGTCAGTCTTGAATGATGATGCGTTGTTGATTCAGCTGACGAAGAGTGATGTAGTTTCACTCTGTAGGTGCCATAGGCAAAAAAAACCTAAAAAAAAACCGAAAGGAGCATTCAAACTAGCCCGAGTTGTTTATTTCAACATCGACAATGCCCCGGCCAATATAACGGGCAGTGTATCTAGTTTCTCCTACGTTTAACACATGTGGAGCATTTTCTCTGTTTTGAGAGCCACTTGTCACTTAACAAGCAATGATATTCAGGCTGAAAAAAATACACGCATTTTAGTTTGCGTTCAATATCATTCAAGTGCGGTATCTTTCATGCCATTTCTACGACAATTATGAGTGCAACGTACACTAAATCCGGAAAATAAATGGCACGGTAAAAACTAAGGAAGGTGTGCCACGAATCGAATCAAGTATTGAGATGCACTTTTTTATCTCTTGCACGGGGGGCGGAGAGAAAGGAGGGGATGCGGGGGGTGGGGGGTCCCAGTCGTCACTTTTTTGGCTACGCCACTTTACCTTCATTAATGCCAACGAAGAGGCCTTGTCGACGAAGCGGTCAAGCACGATTTTTGAGCCTTACCGAACAGCTTATTATTATTATTATTATTATTATTATTATTTTAACATCCGTCTATATTGTGCCTACATTGCGCGAACGTCTGTCTCCCTATATGCCGCCGAGTCAGTTACCCGCAGTGAAAAAGACGGTTTACTTCTGAATGAGCAGCGTAAATATCCGAGACACCTGTATTTCACAATGTGCTGCGAAGTTTTCCTGTTTGTGCCTGAGCGAGAAAGAGACGGTGAAATGCCAACAAAAAAAAACTGTGGGGCTCACTGTTTTGACAGTCAGCTCGTGCCATGAACAAAGTAAAAAAAAACGAAGGCAATAGAAAACACAGTGTGATCGGGGTTCTTCAGGACTAAATAAAGTTCATTTCACCTTCAGAGGAAGTATGTTTTATGTCTAATTGAAATATAAAAATAATCGAGTAAACAAGGCAAATCAACCCAGGCGAAAATGCTATCGTGGCGCCCGCACCCACGTACATTCAGCATTCAAAGGTGATGCTCGCACGTAGTTTCTTTGTAGTTTGTGTATGCGTAAGAAATCAGTGCCGTTGGAGTACAAATGCACTCGACGGGAACTCCTTAACTCCGGAAACAGAGATTTACACTGGAGAAATTTTGCGAGAGTACATACGCACGGTGTACAATGACACTTGACGGAAGCTGCTGTAAACTCCGCAGCTATCAAACACCATTGCATCAGTTCTTACGGCATCACACCGTCCCAGAGTACAAGTACATTTCACGGAAATTTCTTTCACCTCCAGAAATATATACTCCGCTAAAGAAATCGTACAGAGATGGAATCGAGGCCGTGTTACACGGCACCTTTATTAGCTTTGAAAAGAAGCCAGGTTGCATTTTTTTTACCAACGCTGACTAACACAGATTTAGGAAAGCGATGTCAGATGCACTTCTGGTGTTGCACAGTGTACAGTTGAAAATTTTTTCATTTTCTTCTGTAAGATGTGTTTGTATCAGAGCGTATCAGCCAACTTTCCATGGGAAAGCGTCACAATTTTATTTGAATTACATGCCCAGTGTACCATGTACTGGTCTTGCCTAGTACTGCAGCTGAAATTCGCACAGTGTTGCAAAATAACCATAACAGCGCGAGTAATGCACTGCTGTGTTCCTTGCAGAGGTTGTGCGTCTGGGCTTCCCTCGCATACAACCTTTGCGTGAGTATTGGCCATGTACACAGTGTCACGCAACATGCACATACTCTAAAGGTGTGACGTGGAAGTTATACCCCCTGCTTCTTTCTTTTCTTCCTCGTAAACCCGCCAAAATAACGACGCCGTGATCGATGTTTAGTCGTGCCTTTTAGTTGCAACTCAATCGACAGTCTTCCAGCCATATTTCACAGCGAAGCGACAATTTTCTGGAAATACTTCCGATTTTTGCCTTTCGCGATCCAGGTGAGAAAGACAAGGTTTCCACTCGCGCAGAGCTTTAGATTGTCACGTTTTCATTGCTTGTGATCACATGAGAGAGAGAGAGAGAGAGAGAGAGAATAAAACTTCATTATAGTACATTGCAAACGCCGAGATTGCCCCACACCACCAGGCTACTCCCGCGCGACATTCTTTTGCGCCGAATCCCCTGTCTGTACAATTAGCACGGGTCATGAGCACATGTGTGCCAAGCTACTTGGGCACGCATGCACTGGCGGCCCTGCTCTGAAGTGACGGACCGCGCTGAGGCAAACTGCCTAAACAACTTCATCAATATGCCAAAAATAATACCTTAAGGGGCCGATCAAACCAAGCGTTCAAGATTTAGAGGGGAGGGGGCTTGAAGTAGGACTAGAGAGAAGGGGGGGCGGGGGGTGTCCAGACTCTTTTGTTTTAAGTAGTTACTATCATCACAAGAACTCCATCACAGCATAAAAACTATTAATTGGTCCCACTCATTTGCCATAAGCAGTGACAGAGGTGGACAACAGGCACTGAAGGGGCTGCTGACAAAGACTTAGGAATCACCCCTACCACCTCCACCCCTTTCGTCCCTTTGGATACGCCACTGGCCTGAACGGAAGACTGCATAAAATGTAAATCTGTCAGCCTCACAGAACAAGTCTACTTGACAAAACATTGACTCCAGCGACGACTCCGTTCAAAAATTCATTCATTTCTTCTATCTACTTTCCTTCCCCTGAGCGAGCACACTACGTCCTGCCTCACTATGTGTTTCGACATCTCATCCCCGCGGCAAAGCGACTGCATCATAGTACATTTATATGTAGCGGCCGTGGTACAAAGTCAAAATAATCCGGAAAATTCTTACAAATCAGCTCCCTCTCAATAAAACCCATCGCGCCGCATGCAACGTAATCCCTCTAGCGATAGGCTGAGCGAGCCAGACAGTAAGCCAACGGGCTGCATTAGCGTGTAGTGAATGCGAAACCGGGGTCCTCTTTGCGGTCGTTAGGGCACGCGCATGTGAATATTGCCTTCGCGGTTCAGTGTCGACAAACAAACAAAATGGAGACTGGGAGATGATTCAGACTCCAACCAAAGTTTCGAACCCGACGTTTCGAAACCGACTTGGTTCCTTCCTCAGGGGTGACTGTGGAGACTACGTAGCAGTTGAAGACGCCGCTGCTACGTAGTCTCCACAGTCACCCCTGAGGAAGGAACCAAGTCGGTTTCCAAACCCCGGCTTTCTTCAAAACTTTTGGTTGGAGTCTAAATCATCTCCCAGTTTCATGCCCAACCAGACAGACTTCTGTCGAATGTTTACATTCAAAGTGGAGACTGCTTCACGCACGAGGCGTCTGTTCCTGACCGGAGTTTGTGTGCTTTTTGTGTTCTGGCTGTTCTAGATGACGACTGATGTGATGCCCTTCTTGTCCATGGCAGCGTGCCCTGCTAACTTAGTGGTAGACGAGTGCGGCGAGCCGTGCGTCGACAACGAGGACTGCAAGGAACCGGGACTCGCCTGTTGCCGCTTGAGCTGCGACGACGAACGAGGATCCTTTTGCTACGCCGTGCACGACAACCGGTAGAGCGACACCCAGGCAAAACGCATATTTATTGCTTCATCAGTTCCCAACATTAGTGCCAAATAAAGCTCGACAACAGGGTCTGCTTGCTATTTCCATTCGTTAGAGAGTGTGTGGTGAAGAAATCAACCAGAGCAGTCTGCAGCCCCTCACGAACTCCCCCTACAATATAAGAACTGCTACAAAGCATACGTGGTACATACTACACGTGGAAGCAATTATGGCCTATGGGACGCGGGATCCGCAACAAATAAGAATTATTTTGTTGATGCACACTATCATTTCAATAGATGACTCTGTAAGTAGCAAAAATCAGCACATGTTGAAACCTTTAACTGAATGAAAGAGAAAGATTCACTTGCTGCTGTTTTTGTGCGTAGCGCGGTGTAACAAGGGAGCCTCAAAATAGTTCCTCAGAAGGAAATTAAATGTTTAGGAATACGAAACCGGGACCAATGCCGCTTTCAAACCAGTTGCTCTGCAAACCGAGCTACATGAATGAAGCCTTAGTAGCCACATATACTAATGGAAACCCATGTGTGATAGTGCCCCGCTTTCTTTTTTTTTTTTTTTCTTGCAGTGTGGGTGTCATTTGATGTCATCTTGAAGACTTTGCAAGGACAATTAAAGATATAAGTTATCTAATAAGGACAACGGTGCTCCTTGTGGACACCACAAGACGTCACCTTTCCACTGAGAAGGAGGGTAATGAGAAATGTTTGTTACTTTTGTTTTATTGTATCCTGTAACACAAGAGTTTTCATATTACTATAGGTGTTTCTGTCAAACAACAATGAACATAATGAGAAAAGATGTCTGCTATGAACATCACAATGAAAGATGAAATCATCGACAAGGACATAATTCATACCGCCTGTGCTTACTAACATCAGGTTCTCAGTAGTATATTTCGAGAAGTTTTAGCTGCATCTGCCGAAAGTGACACCAGTGACAAGTGAACGAAACAAAGCAGATTGCTAAATCAAAAAGTACGCTACTGATCAAACTGCTTTACAAGCACAAATTCATCTTGGTAATATATCTATAAAAGGAGATAATATAAGCAGGCAAAAGGCACTGCAATTACGCAAGGTTAATACAAGTGCAAGGCATAGAGGCTTGTTGCAGTGGACATACAGCAGCTGCTAGCAGATGATTCAAAGAACGGGATCATATCTGCTAGACCAGTCGGCACAGCCACACTTTTACATCATCAACCACAAAGAAAAGCTTTGGAATAAATAACAATGACCTAAGCATTTGCTAAAGTTTATCTACAGTTAGAGTACAAAGCTGCTTCAATTCAACGGACATCCTAAAGATCGCTATTCTCCTTCAGCCCTCTTTTTAAAGTTGTGCAAAGTGACACGGCACAAAATATTCCTACACCCACCTGCACACAATGCAATTCATTATCGGTTCACTGCCAGCGCCGAGATTCCGACTGACCCTTCTTTACAGCAGCACGTGGGCCGTGGCTATGGTGCACTACACGACACAATGTGGGTGATCCTGGCCAACACAAATGATCGTTAGTTGTGATGATGACGATGGCGTTCGGCCGCAATGCTACTATGCCTTAGAACAATCGCTGTTCATTTTCAGCTTCTTTAGTGGTGCCTCCGTGCTGTCTTCACTCGACTCGTCTCGTCTTGTTGAAAGGTCTGCAAGCAAACACAAAAGCATTTGCATTGTTCTTATGATACTGTGCGTAGAGAACTCCAAGACAGAGTATAAAAGGGCCAAGGATGAGAATAAAAGCCAAGCTAGCTGCCATGAAATGAGGAGGGGAAAATTTTCAATGCTGCCTAATGCGAGAAGTATGTTGTCACAGTCATACACCATGTTTCCAACAAAACATAACTGGTACTTTTTTTTTTCTTTTATAGACATAGTGGTGCAGAAAATGATGTAAGCAAGGATTGCAAAACATGTTTAGATTTTTTCCTATTTATAGCATTATTCACGAATGGATAATTCCCATAAAAATGAGTTTCTAATCACATGATTTGGTGAAACATTCGTTAATCACTCAAAAAATGTTGATGCAAGTGACCTCATTGGGATACGTAAAAAAGCTTGCAGTCAAAAATATAGCATAGGATGTGCTTTTTTTAAATATTTTGTTCGATTTTGGGCCTCCTGGCAAAACAATTTTTTCTGTTTCCTTCTTTTAAAAATCGCATCTGATTTCTACGATTTGACGAAACGAAAGTGACATAGACGGAGAGTACAGGGGGAGGGCCCCTCTGAATTGCATTATGGGGGGCACAGCTTCCACTGGCGCTAGCCCAGGATATTTTTAAAGAGCTTGGCTAAGGCTCTCACGCACCGCCAAGGGCCATCCTGTCTTGCATTTATTTCACAGGGGACTGTCCATGCCTGTTCCTTTCCTTTCAGTCTTTTCAAATTCGGATCATGCAGCAGTGACAAGTAGGGAGTCGGACTTCGTAGTTGCATTGAGAATGAAGTTGCAGGATGACTAAAATTGCAGCATGTGTGTGGCTCTTGTCCAAAATAGGTACGGGATGTTTGCATACCACGTACCCATGAAATAAGTGAAACCCGCTTTGTGTAACGGACTTTTGTTTATGGTTTTAATACTTTTGAAAAGTCTATCTCTAGCTATACATACACGCACATACATTATATATATAGTCCAGTAGATCCTCCGTGAGCGGTCACAACGTGGTTTATTTCGACGTTTCGGCCTAAAGTCTGGCCTTCATCAGGATGAAGGCCAGACTCTAGGCCGAAACGTCGAAATAAACCACGTTGTGACCGCTCACGGAGGATCTACTGGACTATATGCAACGCTACGGCCACTAAACCACCATGCCTGCCTATATATATATATATATATATATATATATATATATATATATATATATATATATATATATATATATATATATATATATATATATATATATATATATATATATATATATATATCAAGACAGAGTGCAAAGCAGAAGAGTAAGTTGCTCTCCGCGCCTTCTCAGGAATATAAAAACTGACTTTCATTTCATAAAATAGTAATCAGATGCGATCCTTGAGGAAGAAAACAGAAAATTATTTTGCCAAGCAGGCGAAAGTTTGTCCTCTCTTTGTAAGCTGGACAAATTATTTTGAAAAAAAAAAAAAGAACAATGCAATAAGTGCTATATTTTTGGACACAGATATTTTGCATAGCCCAATGAGATTACTTGCATAACACTGCCACTTCGCCAATTTCAACAATATAGGATTCAAACATCACATTTAAACAGTCAAGCTTGTACTAATATATGTGGCCCTCACCTGTTAGTGAAGCTACAGTGCAATCTGAAAGTGAGGACAAGGGGTGACTCGTAGCACTGCTGGCCATAAACAGTTGCAGTGTCACTGGGCCAAGGAATTAGCTTGATAAAATGCTTTGCTGGGTGTACCGATTCATAGTCTGAATTAGCGCCAAAAGACGGGACACAAGACTATATGTGGTCTTGTTTTCTTGTGTCATCTTTTCGAGCTCGAAATCATTCCAGACATGGAATTAACCCAGTCAAGTCAACTCGGCTTTCCTTACCTCCCTGAGAGTCTGGAAACTGGGTGTCACTGCTGTTCTCCGTAATGCAAGTGCTGGATTCCTCTGGCCTTGCATCCCTCATGACTTGACTGTCACCCTGAGAGTCCTGGCTGAATTCCGAGAAACCTAAGTGAATGAGAAAATGTTTTAGTCAAACAGAAACAAAAAACTGTTACACATAATTGGCAAATTGTAATATTGGACTTGAGCACTTGAGAACAAGAACTTTTCATGTTTCACAAAAATATTACCCAGTTTTACTCAGGAGGACTAAAACAATATGCTGCTTAACAATCAACTAGCCCCGCCGCGGTGGTCTAGTGGCTAAGGTACTCGGCTGCTGACCCGCAGGTCGCGGGTTCGATTCCCGGCTGCGGCGGCTGCATTTCCGATGGAGGCGGAAATGTTGTAGGCCCGTGTACTCAGATTTTGGTGCACGTTAAAGAACCCCAGGTGGTCAAAATTTCCGGAGCCCTCCACTACGGCGTCTCTCATATTCAAATGGTGGTTTTGGGACGTTAAACCCCACAAATCAATCAATCAACTAGTAAAAATGGCAAGAGTCACTGGAGGGAAGTGGCACGCACAATGAAAAATTCACTGGATACACATACTGTGGGAATGCCGTGGGATAATAAACAGTACTGGGGAGGCAACTTATAGCAATCGCCTCAGTTCCCTTGATGATCAACACTGGACGGTCCAGCAGGCCAAGGAAGCCGCCAGAACTGAAGGACTGCAGGCCACTACCTAGGTGGAACCTTTTGCCACTCTCACAAGCTTGCAGGTCATTCCATTAAAGCTGTTTGTACGTATGTGTCCCGATGATTTGCAACACTTACCAGTGAAAGATTCCTCTAGGCCTTCAGACATGTTTGAATTAGACTTGTCTTTCCCAACCAAGGACTGGGAATCTGCAAGATTGTGAAACAGTCTTAGGAAGAACCACATGGCAACTTAGCAGCAAAACTGAACTTAAGACTGTAAAACTTACAAAAGCAACATAAAAGTACAGTTTCATCATACAAGTAAGTACATGTGTAGTATACAGCCCTGAGCAGGCAGGGTTCACCGCGCGTCAAGACAAGTAAGCTTACCATCATTCTTGATGTCGTGTTTACCCGATGTTTCAATGTTTTCTTTGTTGCTTGAAGCTGCTGGTGCTTTGGTTTTCGCCCTAGCCTAAACAATGAAAATGAGTATCTTACAACACCACCTGTACAGGCACGTATAACATTGACATTTCTGTCAACAGAGCACTAGACACAAGATTACAAGTCATTGACTTGCTGAACTTGTGAGCTTCCGATACCTGGCAGAAGTATTTCAGGTGCAATATTGTGTACTGGCATGCCTCAGACCAACCTCACGAAAGGCTTTCAATATACTGGCGGCACACGTACAGTATAATTGGAAGCCGATAATTGAGGGCACCCTCCAATACTTTTTCAGGATGCTCAGAAAACACTGCCTATCAGTAGTCGACCCCCCCCCCCCCCCCCCCCGAGAACACACAAGCCAAATATTATAGCGCAACATGCAGCCTGGAATCAACGAGTAATTCTTAAAAGTCAGCTAGAAATCATTCCTTCTTCTTTCTACACATGATGTCATATACATAATTCATGGCCATTGGTTGATTTGAACATAGTGAGCTGCGCAGCTACCGCAGTTGCCGGAGGCCCTCATGTGGTCACTAGCGGTAAATCTGCAAGTAGGCTGCGCATTCGAAGAAAAAACAATAAAAGTGCTCGATGTGCACGTGACGTAACTTTTTTTTTCTGTGCCATCCCTCCTTGCTTAGCTTCCGGTGCCTTCAGTGAAATAAGAGAACAGAAAAAGCAATTACAGCATGTGACAAATATCTGTAACTCCGCTCGTACAAGACAGATTCTACACGTTTTCGCAGCAGCTGGTTTGTGAATAATGAACTCCTTGGATTAAGCCATTTGATGATTGCTTTTAAAGTGTTGCAGGGCCCACTTGACTGTCTCGTATTTCACCAGCTAGAAAAGATATCGAACGTCTCATGTGAAAGCATATTGCAGAGAAGAACCTTTTCTTTTTTTTTTTTTTTTTTGATAGCCCATAGTTGTCAGCTCCACCTGGCTACTGGACTAGTGTACCATTTTGTCGCAACTCCTGTTATTGAACGCGATATTAACAGGCCGAATTTGAATATATGTAGTTGGAAATACAAGCACACTGGGAGAACGAAACGAGAGGAAATTTATAATACAAAAACTCGCTGCTCAAACTTTCCCAGGACTCTCAACTGTGAATCGAAATTTAAATTGGACACAGGAATGGTGTTTACATACCTGATCAGTGCTTGGAACTGAAAAAAAGAAGAAAAACGAAGTTGAAGCAGCAGCATACGCTATAGCTTTTCATCTGAAAAACACCCTCACCTATTACCTGCACGGCTCTGAACCCATTCCAAATTGCATTAAAACCTGCATTGAAATATAGTGCCCCCCCCCCCCCCCTATGAAAAAAAAAGCTCGTGCTGATTCGTTTCGACATTCTTTCTCCAACAGAACACAAAACATGCACTGGATGCTTTAAAACATGTACTCATGCTATTACAAGTTTGCGAAACACGGCACTCTTAACTAGATAAAACATCCCGGAGCTTTTTCTTTTTTTTTTTTTTCAACAAGTGTTTGATACTCGCCTGGGACCCATTTGTAGATTTTCATACTCGTGTCTCCTATGGTGACCCACTTCTTTTCCCTGAAAAAAAAATTGTCACATTAACGAGATTCCGTAGAGCGTGGTGATCAAGACAATTGAAAGTGTTACACGCATAACTTTCTAAGCTAAGTTTAAGGAAGGGCGAGTGAATGCATGGTCAACACACAATAAAGGAGAAAATGTTCGGATCAGCATACATGGAATGCAAATACAGGTTGGAGCACATGTACTAAAAGCACTACGCAGTGAAGCTGTACTACACGTGAGCGCAAGTCTCGAACAATCAGCCACTGCACGGAACTCGAAAGAACGCCCGACCGAGGTTTCCCCTCTGTGTCAATTATCCGTAAAAAAAAAAAAATAATAATAATTCCAACTCGTTCTACCAATGCGTACGCATAATCGCGAAAACACCGAAGCGAGCCGCTGTCAACAAACGCGCCAATCGAAGCAGGGTGACAAGAGAAGCTGTGTTGCGACAATCCGCGGAACCAAGATTCACGACTATCATGTCTGCCGTTGCCAAGGGCCGTATGAATCTGCGGCTGTTGGTGGGATCGTACAACGACCGGGAAAGTGGCTACGGCGCGAAGCACCGCAGCGTAGTCCTTGCGGCAAGCAACGCCTAGAGCGCGCTTCGGCGTGAGCCGGTCGCGATGCACCGCCGAGACACCGGCAAACACGTTCACGGTATCGATTCGCCCTACCATTTGCGAACCTTGTCGATGGCTTGCATGACCCTCTTGAAGTCGTCCTTCGCACGGCTCCGCGTCTCGGCGCGTACCGACCTGGACATCATCGTCGAAGCAGCGAGCGATCGCCTGACACAAACGAAACTGATTCGGCGGCAGTCGGCGCCGGTTAACAGTACTCGGACAAAGGCTGCGCGTCGCCCTGCAGCGTGCTGGCTCAGTCACGCAAGCAATGTAAGCGGGAGGAGGGAAAACCGAATAAAGAAAAAAATCCATGATAACGGAGGGCACAGATAGATGGATGAATGTGACTGTACCCTTTAGATCGGGCGGCGGCTAGCGCCGTCTAGCCTTATTAGTTAGTGAACCAACTATTAGATTTATCTTTTCTTTTTTTCTTTAAATAGTGAGGTTGAGGGTCCGCACTTTGCAGTTAAGGGTTTAATTTTTACTCGTGCCTTGAGCAACCACAAACACATGGGCGCCACGAGCGGCTGTGATGTTTACAATATGGCGACGATGACGTTTTTGACTCGTCAACTTGAAGGATTTGCAGAATACAAATGCACAGCCTTTGAGACGTGCAACTTGTGTACAAAATAAATTTTCTTTTTGAAGAAAAACTACTAAACATTAATTAAGTGAATAACTCAACGTTATTTATTGTTACTATTTAAAATTGCATTAAAATAGTAAAATTATTTTACGTTTTTATTAAATATACAAAAACACACTTGCGATGGTAGCGCTCGGTGCGAACCTATAAGGTCCGTTCGATTCACCTGCACCGGTCGGAATCGGTTCACGGCTGTGCACGCGAAGTTCAGAAATTGTGTAGCGTGAGTTCAGCGGTGCAGGCACAGCACGACACCCGAAACAAATGACGATGTTCCGACAAGGTGTTGGCCTTATTTCTTTTCGGTTAATTTACACCATTTAGCAAACACCGACCTAGGGCGAAACGCACATGTGGACAGTTTATGAGGCGCAAACACCTTGGCAAAACACACCGCATTTGTAGAGGCGGGTGCGGCGCCTAAGCCACCTACGTCTAAGTGCTGCGTCGTCTGCTCAGCTGCACGCTCGCCTGCACCGTCAGCGGAGAAGGTGCAGGAAAATTGTGAACCGGTGCTGCACCTCTTCTGCACCTTTCGAAACGAATGGCAGGATTCAGCGGTCGTCAATGCTGCACCGCTGAGACGAATGGTAAATTGCAGCACTTCGTGAACTGATTCACGTGGTGCAGGCGGATCAAACGGACTTATAACTTAAAACAGGACATGATACATGGCCCCTGAGACGAGTAACGCCAACAAGTTCCGTTCGATTCACCTGCACCACGTGAATCAGTTCACAGGGTGCAGCACTTTGGCATTCGTTTCAGTGGTGCAGCATTGACGACCTTTTAACTCTGTCATTCGTTTAAAAGGTGCAGAAGAGGGGCAGCACTGGTTCAAGATTTTCCTGCACCGCCTACGCTGACGGTGCTGGCTTGGTGCAGCCGCATGTGTGGCTGAGCAGACGATGCAGCACTTTAGCGTAGGTGGCTTAGGCTTCATACCCGCCTCTACAAACGCGGTGTGTTTCGCCCATATGTTTGCGCCTCATAAACTGTCCACATGTGTGGTTCGCCATCGTTCAGTGTTAGCTGTACGGCGTAAATGAGGCGAAGAGAAATAAGGCCTGCACACTGTTGGCTCATCGTCATTCGTTTTAAGGGTCGCGCTGTGCCTGCACCGCTGAACTCACCCTGCACAATTTCTGAACTTCGCGTGCACAGTCGTGAACTGGTTCCAATTGGTGTAGGTGAATCGAACAGACCTGGAGAGAGCATGTTTCCAGAGGTGGGCCTGCCCCGCTCTATTCTTCGTACCACGGCGCTCCTTCGTATGGTCGCGCCCTTGGGGAACCTTGCATGTGGCGAGAAAAAAAAATAGTTTGGCGCTTTTATGTAACTTGGCGCTCATTTGGGAATGTCGAGACAAGATGTACGAGAGGCAAAGTCAATGCTTGGGCGCGTATATATTCTCAAATGGGCTTTTTTTTTTTTTTGCTGTAGATTTGCGCTGTCCTTACAAGAACACTTATAATTGCGATTCCTCTGGCACTGCGCCGTGCTCCCGACCGGGTTGCAGAAATTAGGTGCCTTTTCTCATCTTCTAACCACTACCACCACCACCACCGATTCCTCTGCAAGAGATCCGCATCTGCTAGAAACTTACTCTACTTCGAAGTTTGCAGGCTGTATAGTATGCAGGGCACTGGCGACGAAAAAAAATTACAGTCCACGCGCGATCAACAGGCGAAGTCAGAAGAGTGGCTCGTTTTTCACTCACGGGTTACACTCGATTGAAAGGGTTGCTTTTTCTTTCCTTTCGTGGAACTAGCGCTGCTTTTTATTGTAACGCCGCTTCAAGAATCCTCCCTTCGAGCCGCAGAAGCAAGATACAGGGAGGAGGTTGCAAAAGGTTGCCATGCGTCTAGACTATGTCTAGACTAAACGTCGCCAATTCAGCGACGACCAGGGGCTGGTTAAAGCACGTTTTGGTCCCTTGTGACAGCCCATTCGCACTGTGAGTTTTACGGCGTTCAGTGGATACGTTGGGCAAAGTAAGAATAAACATCGAAATGTTTTGCTTGTTCAAGAAGTACGAAACATGCGTTCAGAGTTTGATGTACCTCATATGAAGAACTGCGGTGTTACATAGCAGTGACAATTAGCACTCTTTATTTCTTTAGTAGCCTACCTAGGCGAATACTTAGTTTTCATTAGAACGACACCGTTATACTATGTGCGACCCTTCTATTTGGATGCAGTCGAGAGTACAGGAAATGGCTGATATTGCCATATTGTGCTACCAAAACAATGACAAAAGAGGAGACGGTGACAACTCAGGAATTTTCACTGTGAAAGACGTGGGGAGTGAATGTAGGTCAGCTAATCGAAGCCATCTACAATATTCCGGCAGAAATACTTCTCACGCACCTCATTTCAAATACATTACCAGGGCACTCAGTTATATAGAGCGTATTTATGAGGTCGACCACCTCATAAAGATTTGTACGTGATATATTAGCAAAACGACGATAGTTATAGCACGAGAACAGAACGACGACAAAGGGACGAGAAGGAGACGAGCGCTAGCTATGTCGTCGTTCTGTTCTCGCGCTATAACTATGGTCATGTCATACCAACTAGCCCAAACCACCACACTTCTAAGTTACGTAATAGTAAAATTACAGTCAGGATAGGAGAGCAATACGATTCAAAGACGATAATTAGTCTTATTTTCCCCATACAAGTCTCCAGAAAGGAGGAATGCTAGAATGCCTCTATATATCTCAAATCGAACTATTTAGCACCGAGACAAAACGGACCATAATAATAAAAAATAATACTGCCATATACAAATTGATGCCTCCTTACAATTAGCTATTAGAGAAATGCAGCTGTTGCCATGCTTTTCTTCGCAAATTGAACCAAAAATAATGCAGTAACAGAAAAAAAATATTTCGCTTCAGTTCAGCCACAAGATCCTGCCGGAAATTCTTGCTCGTAGGCAAAAAAAAAAAAACCAAAAATACATCAGCTGTATGCCATGCTCTACACCACGGAGGAAGGAAAGGTAGGAGAGGACATGCCTAGCCAGCGCAGGGCGTAAAAATTTGGCGGAAATTACGTCAAAGCAGCCATACTCACTGGACACAATGGCGGCGTTTTGTTATTATTGATGTAGTGCGGTGCGGCACCGTTCAGGCGGTCCAGCTGTGGTGTGCGCGTTTTCATGGGCCTCCCACCTAACCGTGGCGTACTGCAGGTGTTCGACAGCATCCATTCTTTGTGCCGCATTGTTAGCCACGCGATTGTCCTCCGGTGGTGGTTGTAACCAGGTGTATTAACTAGAAACCACGGAACGAGCACGCGTATACGTGCTCCGAATTTGCAGCGTCCGTCAAAACTGTGTCTAGCCCACAGCCTGACCGAAAATTTCATAAAGACTAAAAAGAAACGCAAAAGGGGAAAAAGTGATCTGAAAGAAGCTGTACAAATTTTGGTGCCTGGTTTGTCGCGCGGCAATGTGCGAAATATCATCTTTATTTTCACAAAGAACACATCAAATAAAAAAAAAGCTTAACGTGCAACTTACCGTGTTTATTGTAAACGCCGGCAGTGCAAGAGTACAACACCCATACACAGAGATTTCGTCAACCGTATCGCGGTAGGACAGCGTGATGAAATCCGTTCCGTTGGTTTCGGATAGAACCGGCGCACGCGGCGCGCAGACCACGTGCTTTTTGAGACAGAGAGGGAGTCGCGCCTTCTGCTTTGCATTCATAGGTAAGCAAGAGAGGAGAATTTGCCCAGACAATATGGCCGACTTCCAGCTTTATCTCGGGTCATGGATCTCGGCATCACAACGAGTGACGTCAGGGCATCTCCTACCTTTCCTTCCTCCGTGCTCTCCGCTAACGCCGGATGATAGGATATGACTGTACCTTTTAGATCGGGCGGTGGCTAGCGCCACCAAGCCGTAATACCTAATGAACCAAAAACTAGATTTTTTTTTTTCATTAAAAAAGTGAGTTTGAGGATTCGTACTTTGCAGTGAAGGGTTTAATTTTCACTCGTGCCTTGACTTTAGCCACCAATAGATAACCTCCTTCTAGTTAAGTCTACCCGGCCGCTTTAAATCTATTTTGCCCTCCCGGTCCCTAAACCCCCGTGCTTTGAAAAACTCTCCGCCATTATCCTGGACTATAGGGTGAAGCCCTTTACAGAACATTATCAAGTGTTCGGCAGTTTCCTCTTCCTCTCCACACGCACTGCATACTGTGTCTACCCCTTCGTATTTGGCCCGATATGTCTTGGTTCGCAGTACTCGCGTCCTGACCTCAAACAGTAGAGGACTACCTCGAGTATTATCATAGATCCTTTCCTTGGCAATTTCCTGCTCAAAAGTTCGATAGATCTCTCGTGCGGACTTCTTAATCAAGCCCATTCTCCACATGTCAGTCTCCGTTTCCTTCACTTTCTTCTTAACCGATAGTTCTTTTTGGTTTGGCCACCTGCTGTTTTCTAAGTATTTACCAGTAAATTTCCTGGTTCGCTTCCTCTATTTTGTATCGACATTCTTCATGTGCAAGTAGCTGAAAACCTTGCTAGCCCAACGCTCCTCCCCCATTTCTCTCAATCGCTTCTCAATTTTTATCTTGCTGCTAGCTTCCCTGCCCTCAAATGA